CCCCATCACCTCTCCTTCCTTGCCTATTTTAAGAGTTGATCAGAAGACCGGCGTTGTCTCAACATTGACACCAGTGACTAGGTCCCAAAACCTGGACTACCATCTTGACATGGGTTTGCAGTGGCTCACTGATCACTCGAGGAAGAGAAGGGGTGACACAGCGGTGGCTGTGTGTGTTAGTAACTAATTTTAGCCTCCCCATAGTGTATTTGACCCTTTTGTGACAAAACGACTGAAAGGCTGATAAACAAGACTCACAGTTGGCAAAAGGCAGGGAATGACACTGTCATCCACACTGTTAAATTCTAAACATTCAGGTCCTCTCCGCCCAGAGAAGAATGGGCTTGAGATAATTGGAAAAATTTGCAGAGTGTAATGGACCGAATCACCTCATTACAGAGTGAAGCCAAGATCAAGTTTGTTTTACCTGGTAAGAACAGGGCGGTAGTCTGTGCCGTTTTAGGAGCCAGCTTGGTCGCAGCTATTGAAGATTGCCTTAAGTGACAGAATGATGAGGAAAAAATCATAGAATCCCTTGAAAGTTTGGTATATTCTTATCAGAGGACAATTTCTAGCTTAGAAGAGGAAAACCGCTCATTAAGAGCCGCTCTTGAGGTGGATCGTATAATAAACACCACCGGTTCACTGAATGAGTTACAGCCCGAACTCGAGGAAAAGTGTATCCAACAAATAAACCCTGAATATCCACAACAGGAATTAGAAGAAGTGAAGAAACTTTATGGAGAAAGCCCTCGAGTGAGTCCCTTAATTAAAACAGAATATGCTTACAAAAGTTTTGATGATCTGGACCCCCACATTGTCACAAAAGAGACACCATATTCTGCCACTGAGCTGGCTGAATTAAAGAAAAATTATGGGCGCCTTCCTAGAGAATCTGAAACTGAGTATGTGTGGCGCGTACCTCTAACTGGGGGTGACCAAATTCAATTAAATGAAAAAGAGGCTAGTGATTATTGGGGTCACGGAATTTTCTTAACAACAGGTGATAATCGTACCCCATGGTCCTTGACTCAGTGTGCTGCTTATTGGGCTGGAGGGTTGAACCCTTTGGATAGAGGGGATCCCCTGGCAATCACTGGCACAGCTGATCAATTGCTAGAAAGTGTACACAAAGCTGCCTGCTTGCAAATGATACATGAGAGGAAATTAATTCCCAGATGTGAATCTCCAATGATGCTGCTGGTGAATCCTGAAATTATGACCTCCTTGATAAGGGGACTCCCCGAGTCATTTAAACCTACAGGGATTAGTCTTCAAAGAATCATTGCATCAATGAGCTCCGTAGAAAGGCTGGAAGGTTTCATGAATAGTCACAGAAGTGAAGCTGGTAATACCGTGGATAAACCAAAGGTGTGGACCTGGGGAGAAGTAGCACAAGAATTGATAGATTACAGCAGAAAATATTGCCTTGTGAAAACTCCAGAGGAAAAGTCAAGGGGAATCCAACAAGTAGGAGTTAAGAATCTGCCCTCTTGGCAGCGCTTGCTGGAATGGTCGCATGTGAAGCATAAACATACGGGAGCTAAAGATCTGTATCGGGAAGTTTTTGCCTGTGGCTGGGGGGGTTCTGCATTTAAGGGAGGGTAAAGGCTTGTGGGATGCCTGGCAGGTAGATTATACCGGCCCCTTTAAGAAATCAGGGGGAAAGCATTATGTGCTGGTAGGAGTGGAAATAATATCAGGGCTAGTCCAAGCTGAAGCTTTTAAAAGGGCTACAGGAAACAACACAGTGAAAGCACTCAAAAAAAAGAATGGTTTGGAACTTTTCTGGATAATACCATCATTTTAATTGCTTTTTTGTTTTGCCTCAAAGAGGCAAGCTCTTTTGTTTAGTTGTTATAGGAGAACTCCATGGGACACCAAGAGCTTGCACAGAAGGAGCATGAATAAAACTTAGAGACCCAAATTTCAAAATGACCAACAATATTTTAATTGGCTTGTTGATACTTTTCTGTGTCTCACCTCCCACCTTTAACCAAAGTAAAGATTCAGGTGGGATGCAGAAAAGTGTAAAATTCTCACAATGAAAAGTCCTCCTCAATTACAGTTACTGGTAATTTTTTAGATCTGAATGTAACATCTAAAATTCACCCCGGCATTTCAGCAAAAATCTGTCCTAACACTGAGTGGAGATGTGGTCAGCAAGATTCTTTTATCTTGTGTTGTTGCCAAAGGTTTACTGGTAACAATACCATCTGGGATCCAAGTAATGATAATGCTGAAATCACCAAAACTTGTAAAAAAGAACAAGGTGATTGTTGGCTCAATTTTACCATGGTCAATTCAGTCTCTGTGGTGTGTAATTGGAGAGCTGATCCAAAAAACCAGACAGACCTATTAGGTCTGACACAAAAATTCAAAATGAATGCTGTAACTAAGCCTAGGCTTGTTGCAATAATCACACACCATGGCAGAGATATTATCTTTTCTTTGAACGACAAAAATAAAGTAATACCCCCTCTTGTTGCAACTCAGGATGATAACATCTCTGTAAGATGTAGATTGATCATTGAATCCCTCATTGAGCCAACAAACAGCTATGGAAATAGACCACATGGCCTTATTCTGTCATGCAAAATCCAAAACCAAGACTGCTGGTTAAATCTTACCACAGTGCAGTACGCCCATAAGGTCATGTGTAGGAAGAATAACACAAAGTATTGAGGGGAATTTAAAATGGAAGTTGTAACACCCACTACACAACCTGCACCAGCACTCAAACCAAAAGTTTATGAGATTGGGCCGTATGTAATAAGGAATACGGGCCAACAGCAAATGTTGTTTAATCCGGAATGGTCCCTCAAGCGAGTTGAATTGCTGATGCAAAATAATGTCTCAGAAATTCAACCAGCTTGCTCTCCTTTTCTATGAACCTCTTACGAGGGATGGACCACCTGGCTACGTAAACGAACAACTTCCAAGAAAAGAATCAGGAGAGACCTGACCAGTGTTTTAGGAACCGGATTGGGGGTTCTGAATAGCATTGACTCAGAAGTATTAATGAATAAATTGGCTACCGCAACTACCGATTTAGCAAAATCACGACAGCCTTTACGATCTTCCCTATTGGCTTTGGGAACTGATCAGTGGCTATTGTCAAATGTGTTACCAAAATGGGAAAGGGTGAATATAAAAGATCACGAACTGATTGTAAATACTCTTGGCGTAATCCAAAATGACACCTCTTTGGCTCTCAGCTGTATCCAGGCTCAGTTGTGGATGCAATGAGTGGCCGCTTCAATCATCGGAGAAGGTGAAGAAGGTATTCTTCCCACTGAAATTCGGAAAATAATCTGAGACAGTGCTACTGGCTTTGAAAAGAAACTCCAATCCTGGTGGAATTTGGTAAACTTTACCTATGATTCCTCTACAAACACAGTCACAGATTTTGTGATGACCATTCACAATGCTACAATATACTCAATTTATCCTGTCCTTGCATTAGGATTGAACCACAATGGGACTATATCCAGAGTGGAGGTGGGTCCAAGGAGGAGCAAGGTGTGCTACCTAGCATAAAAGATGATTCCTCAGTAGCTGAATTTTGAAGATCTTCCCCACCAAGAGGTCACAACGATCGAAGAAGAAGCAGCGGAAGCCTTCTGGATTCAGGACCATAGGGATGCCTGTGGACCCGTGGTGGTAGCTATAATCCTCTTTCCCCCTTTTTTACCTCATCTTTCCTATTCTTCCTTCTTTCTATCACAAGCCGCTTTACAGGCAGAACTAATAAAGTGATTGTGTGTTGAAAGCATAACTCCCTGGGCCTGATGCCATTTCTTTTTGCACTTTGGGATCACAGCTGAAACGAACCATCATGTGTCCACCAATGAGTGGACCGTGACACTTATCCCTTCTGAAAAGTTGGTAGCCATCGATCACAGCACTCCAGTTGTGTGAGTCTTACCATTTCATACCATCATCGTCACATTCAATATAAATTATAAAGTTTGCTGAGAAGTTCTCTCTCTTCTATGATTGCTGTGATCCTGAGAACTTCTTGCCCTGGTGCCAGACCCCTGAGGCCTTCCCTTCCTCCCGAAGCTGTAGCGCTCGCAGTGTCCGACATTTGCTGTCCACTGCTGGGAGTGCACAGCTTCCTCCTAATATAATCGGCTGAATATAATCCTTGCATATCTTATATTGATGTTGGGATCAATACTGGTTCTTTAGTATTAATACTGTTAATTATCTATTATTCTATTAAATCTGTTTATATTTCAACCCTCGGGTTTCCTTGTTTTTCCCAATTCCCTTCCTGGGTGGGGAGGGTTCATCAAGGTGATAGAATAATTGTCTAAACGACGATAAATTGTTGTAGGTTTCTCAAATGATAACATTGATCTGAGTCTTTTTCATTTCAGTTTTTCAGAATAACCTTTGAATTATTGAAACTTTGTGTCAATAATTATTTTCTTTCAGAACAAAATAAATAGTCCACCCTGAAAGGCAATATAAATACTGGTATCACACTTTCTCACACTCCCATTGAAAAAGTCAAATCAGAGCAAGATCTAACCAAAGCAAAGCCAATATCCTCCTCCCTCTTATACAATCTACAGGTGACTGACATGCTGTGTTAAATCGTTCTCCTTTCTGGTCTTTTGAGGGATCGGAGTGACATGTTTTGCGTTAGCTGGCACACTGCAGTTGTTAACACCTAGAACTTCTGATTAGTAAAATCCAAATTATAAAGCAAAGGCTTCTGTATGGATTGCCATGAGCTGCTATTGACTGCATTTAAGTACTTTTTATATACTTACCCCAAAAACTACAATTACTCGTCAGCCTTACAGAGTGTTCCCTGACTCCTTTTGAGCCTTTTAAGTCTATGAGATACCTCCCCTCTTTCACTGCATTTTTCTTGATGTGTCTCTCCCTTCCTTTATTCTGCACAGACAGAAAGAGAAGCATCTTTGTGCCATCACAATGAAAAAGACCAAACCAAAAAGACCTATGAAGTTTAGAAACTTGCATCTTCTTTTTCGCTTCTTTGTGACTCCCAGGCCTGCCTTTGTTGCCATTACAGCTTCTATGTTTTAATAAATTTGTGGACCTGGAGTCAAAATGCTACTTCGATGAACCCCTTTACAGGCGTTTAAATAAAAAACTACTTCTTTAGAGCTGCTGATCCCTCTCATCTGCCCCAATTTCAAATGGGTCAGTAAACAGTGGGCTTCCTTCCAACATAACATTGGAAATTCATGTTGGAATATAGCAACCACTGTCTGGGAAGACAGAATGCAATTTAGAGAAACCAAATTACTAGGAAAGAAGAATGCCGTTCATGAATTCCTGAAAAACAGACTGTCCTGGTTTGAGGTAAAACAACCAATTTTGTTCAGTAACTTCGCTTCTTAGCTGGGACTCTCTAACTACTGAAATTAACAGCATATTGTGCAGACAATGTTCACTCTCTCAGGGTGATAAGACCTATGTTTATAGCTGATGCCCAGGCATGGTATGCAGAGAGGCTCTTGCTTATACTTATTGCTCTAACAACCAAGGCCAACCAACTTTGTTATTTGCCCCGTTGGAGGGTCGGAAGCGGAAAAGCATAGTGGGGTCCCACCTGCAAGGAGGAGCGGACAGGACAGGTGACCCAAAACTGACCAACGAGGGTATTCCATCCCATCTGCCTCATGCTCAGTATAAAGGCTGAGGATCAAAGGGTCAGCTCTCTTCCTTCAATGGCCGGCGTCTGAGGAGGACTCTGTTCGTCTGCCTGCAATCCCGATCCTGAATGCAGATCCGAATCCAGTTCCCGTCCGTCACTGAGTCATTCGATTATTTCTTTTTCATTTAATTATTAATATTTCATTAAATTAGTTTAGTTCCTTCTAAACTCGTAAGTCTCTTTTTCCTCCTCTGCCCCTCTCTTTGAAGAGGGGTAGAGGGGAGCATCTGTCAGTCCCATCTGGGGTCCCCCAGGTCCCCAGTAGCCAATTCGGCCTAAACCGCGACACAGACTTAAAACAAAAAAAAGCAAATGAGTAGCTAATGTTATATTAAAATGAAAACTGTAACATACTGAACTTTTTGAGCTACTGTACCAACAAAGAACAGAAGTTTTCCATACAAATGTCATGAGATTGACTTCAGCAGCAGAAGTGTGGATAATGAATCGCTAATCTGATGTAACTGGTTGATATCTTGTCTCATAACAAAGTACTAGAGAAGTATTAATTTCTCAGAATTGATTCAAAGTATTAAGTATGAATCATTCTAACAAAGAGATAAAATCCAAAATTTTATTCATTAAAGAACATGCAAAACAACTCAAGATATATTTTGTAGGCCAAAGGTTAAGCTAGCTAATGAGTGTCCTCATTTATTTTGGAAACTGGAATCATTATAATATCATTCTATAATTTGAGATTGTTACTATAGTCTCTTAATAATGCACTTCTGATTAACAGGAGTCTATGCTTAGTGTTTAGCAAATACAATAATTACACACTGTATTTTCTTTGCTACTGTCTCCTCTTTCCTTTTGGGCACCTAAAATGTTTTACTGGCAATAATGAACTGAATCTCACAATGTATGGAAGTACATGATGAAGCTGGCTGCCAGGGTAGAGAACTGG